GTGGCAGTCTTGGCTTAGTTATATCACTCAAAACTAGTTCCCGTTTGTCTCATTTGATAAAAAGGGAATCGTCAATGTTTTCATTAAGACAGTATTGCCTTGATTTTCTAATATTTACAATGATAGACACTAAATTTCACTTTTCACCCACATTTACTTCCAACCTTTTCTTTTGAACCAGATGCGAAAATGATAGACGTTTAAAACACTTGACATCATCCACCCTTGTCAAATGTAATAGCATAATTATTTCAATCGTAATGCCTTCTTATCCCAACGTTACTTTGTTTCTTTGCTACATTAGCGAACACTGAACTACTGCTCGTACTCTAGATACAACAATCAACCACAAAATTCCCTAAACCAGATAACATTAAACATAATCCAAAAAATCATGTGTCAATTCACGAGTTTGCTCACAGAGCACTTTGATTTATAGTACGAGTAGGAGGTATAGCCGAGATATATTACTCGATCTTTATTTCCGAGTTAGGTTTACCAATCCTTGCCTTCGGCGCTGATGCGAATTTTACATTCGCTGCAACGAAGAGTAAGAAGTACAAATTTCAGAAGCTAAAAAAGCCTATGGATTTTACAAGGCCAAGTATGAAAATGGGTGCGTGGTCGTAACATGGTCGCTTTGAGAACTCGGCATCACGCCCCTATAAAGAATCTTGAAGGGCCTCTCCTACCCCCGGGGAGATGAAAATAAGGTGTGTCACTCTCTTCAAAAGGGCAGGATGGGAGGGATGAAAGAGGGCTGGTCGATTATGAAAGCAAACTGCATTTGGTTCTACATTAAATTAGTCACTTTCATCAAGCCATAGGGTTTCAAAATATCTTTGTCACGGCTTGTCATTCTCGAAAATGGCCCTCTTGATTTTCACCTCAATTTCAATTTACACGTTGAGAATCTTCTCGAAGAGGACGGCTAAAAAGTATAACTCTTCTTTCTTTTTTTTTTTTATTATTTTTTTATTTTTGTGTAGATCCTTGTAGGCTTGCCTGCATTCAAAAGAATTTAGTAAGACTTTATGGCTCAGTAGCTGATGGAACACGATGCACTGACCATCCTGAAATCTTTGACGTATGTATCGAAGGAAAATGTCGGGTGAGTCGTTTTGTAATTACATACTTGTCAGATGTTTGGAAAAAAGTACGATTGTTTATTTGCGCATCGATAGTTTCTTGCAGTTAGTTTGTAGATCTCTGTTTCTCGATATAAGCAAACGGTAATGTCATTACTGCTCCTTGAAAGCCGTGTGAAGGTAAGCTTATCGGTGTGTGCTTTTTCTGGGGAAAAATTATGCGCGGCGTAGGTCAATCAAAACTCTAACAAAATTCTCGAATGTGATTGGTTATCACCAGCCCAGTTTTAGAACTGATAAGACATTACACGCGTCGTATACTTGTTATAGGACAATGGAAGTGGACAGTACGCGTTTTGTGCGCGCGTTATTTTCGCTCATTTTGCCGAGTTAGCTCTTGTTTTTTCATGAAAACGTATCACCGATATCTAGTTTTGTCATGTTTTGATTAATTGGGAAGAGGACTTCGTGCCGTCTAAATCTGTCTGTTATCACACTTGTGACCAACAAATCGGACTCCCGCTTTACATTCGTCCGATTTTGATAATCCCTGATTACCGACCGAATTGGACTCTGCTCAGTCCTATTACCATCATGTTAATAAGTTATATACAGCACAGAAATCGTGTCTTTTTTTTTAAGGAAATTGTATTAAGATTTTCGAACTATTCAGCCCTGGTCACCAATAATTGATTATGCGTGACGCCATCCATGACATTTCCTGAACGTGTCATGAACATGTCATGTCACGGCATGACATGTCTGCTTATGACTTAAAACCGGCCACGGTTTTTCTCAAAGGCTGTTGGCTGCGACCATGGTTTCGAGTCTGGAGCGAGGAAAGATCGCTGTGGAGTTTGTGGTGGTGTCGGAGACACGTGCATTTTGGTGAATTCTACGTACACGAAATTTCACACGGGATACGGTAAGAACATAACATGACTTTAGCGAACTATCTTAGATGACGTAAGCGTGCTGACTTATAGGACGTCAGTGAACTGAAGTATAAGACTTCATCGTTATTTCTTGAGAATTTGTCGAACCGACCTGAGACGTTTGTAAGGTAGTCCTCTACCCAGAGTTAGCGGTCGTCTCCCCCAGGAAAACCACTAGTGGGCAAAAAAAACCACAATTCATTCCCCTTTGAGGCAAAAAAATGACCGTAACGTGGTAGTTAACAGACTAAGAAATATTTGTTTGCCTGTCAGGTTTTGAAAAACCAGACACCATTATTGTCTTACCGGTGGGAACAGCCAATGCTATATTTAAGAAGAGAGGAAAAGGTTACAACATGTTAGGTATGTTCTCGTTGTTGTTGCTGTTGTTATTTTTGCATGTCTCGCAAGATCCTTCCCTCGGCAATAGTAGACCCTTCATTTTCTCCGCAAATTTTTCTATCTTACTAAATGAACGTAATCAGCAGTGTCCTCCTTTCCTCTATTGACTATGGCCGTCTTCAAACCCTAAACACACACACGCATAAAACCAGAACAATTTATTGTAACTTTTATAATTAGTGTGAAACTCTTTATCCTGATAGAACGAAAATTCTTTCCAACATGCTGTCTAAAGGTGACCGAAATTAAACAGAGAAAAAATAAAATAATTGATTTTAATTTTTCACTGTTTGCCTGAGCCAAGTTTATCCTTGAAAGGAGAGAATTATACCATTTACTAACTGTAAATAATTTCTAGTTTTCTTTAATATTTTACAAAAGCATCGATGTTTCCTTTCTTCGTCAAACAGGTGTTAAAGATCCTCATACAGGCGAATACATCATAAATCTCCCCTCATGGAGTCGAACTGTTTACTACAATGGGACAAAAATTGAATACGAACATAAAGACAACAGATATGATGATTCTATTTTTGTAGCTGGGCCCACAAAAATTCCCATTGAAATTGTGGTATGATAATTTTTCCAATCAATGATGTTATTACACGTTAATAAAAAAAAACCAAGTTTAACCAAAAGAGTAATTGGAAACTCTTCATGTATAACGTAATGATGATTCCTAAACGTCAAATTCATAAAGCTTATAAGATGGTTTTTAGCAAGATCACAGTCATATAACAGACAAAGACAATTATTGGTAGAAATAAGAGAGATGGTAAGTTTTGAGTTCGGTAAAGAAATAGGGAAAGATGTTTTTCGTCTTGTCACGAGCGTGGGACAAAGAAAAAATTCTGTCCCACGCTCGTGACAAGGCGAGAAACGTCTTTCTTTAGAGACAATTATTGATAATTATGATTAAAAGCTGTTTGGAAGATAACCTCGCGCTCTTTGCAAGAAGGCACCAAGGAACCTGCTCGAGACAACAGTGGAATCGAGTCTGAACATGTTCAGTAGATTTACCGTCAACTCTCAACTTTTTATGGATTTTGATACTTACTTTAATACTGTATGGAGTTAAACTGTTCAGATTAATAGACTTCCTCGTGTTAAAAAAAGAATGCATTTTACTGTTCGCTTTTACCCTTAAAGTTTTGCCTGAGATATGCGCATCTGTGTTAGACTGCATACATCAGTCTCTACTGGATTTTTGTCTTTCCTCTGTTTCTCTTTCTAGTTTGTTTTTCTATATGAAAAAAATCAAGGAGTGGATTTTCACTACTACAGACCACTACTATCTAACGAAACTGCTCAGAGAGCCTCTTTTGAATGGGTCGTTGGCATCTGGTCTGCTTGCTCAATGACTTGTGGTCAAGGTATCGTTTCTGGCGTCTCTTGGTCTGTTTGAGTATTGAGGCAATTTGGCGTGCGTTTGATTTCATTCACCTCGTCCTGTTTCTGTTATTATGACAAATTTATTTCACGGTTGTTATTTGAATTGCGTTAGACAACACAGGAATTGTTAATTAAAGCTGAAGATTGGACAAAAGTCTTTTTCTTTTGATATCTAAACTTGTTACCTTGATATATAATTCTGTGTGTGTAATCTTGGAGAGCACGGAATAAAGTTTCTGAATTGCACAACGTCGTAAAAATCATTAGTATCTGGCCAAGCAAGAGCACTTACAGTAAATAAACACTAAATCAACATTTGATTACAATTTTGCGCTGAATTTTAGGTATCAGAACCCGGGATCTCAGCTGCGTTCGATCTGATGATGGTACTCCTGCATCAGTTGACTCCTGTTCCGCCGTCAAACCCGCGTCACACATTGCCTGTGATAACCAGAATGACTGCGCGCCAGAGTAAGTGTTCCCTCTAACGACTGCTTACGTCGATTATTTCAGTCTGTTTTCTCCGATTGGTTCCGCTAAGACCTCACAAGACGCGAGACCTTCTCGACCAGAAGGCTGACTTTTTTTCTCGTATTTTCCCGCGCTTTGGGTCAGTTATATGACAGATGGCTCCTACATCTTGCATTAATCCAACCCGTGGCTCAATATGTCGCATTCAAGTTGTGATAATCATAGTCAGATTCTCTCCATTTTAAGGTGGCATCAAACAGATTGGAACGAGTGCTCCAAAACCTGTGGAAAAGGGAGTCATTCTCGACTTGTCTACTGTCGAAGAAAAGCTAATGAATCTTATTTCGAGATAATCAGCGACTGGCTCTGTGATGAGAGTGCCAAACCAAACATTACTCTCGTCCAGCAATGCAACGAAGTGCCATGTCCGGCAGAATGGAGGGGTCTGCCTTGGTCCAAGGTATAAACATATATATGATGCAACGCTTGATTACTAATATTCATTGAA